TTATTTTATTTTATTTTATTTTATTTTATTTTATTTTATTTTATTTTATTTTATTTTATTTTATTTTATTTTATTTTATTTTATTTTATTTTATTTTATTTTATTTTATTTTATTTTATTTTATTTTATTTTATTTTATTTTATTTTATTTTATTTTATTTTATTTTATTTTATTTTATTTTATTTTATTTTATTTTATTTTATTTTATTTTATTTTATTTTATTTTATTTTATTTTATTTTATTTTATTTTATTTTATTTTATTTTTTTATTTTATTTTATTTTTCTTTATTATATTTTAATTTTTTTTTAACTTTCAGAATAATATCCATTTAAAATAAATTTATTAATAAATATATATTTTTAAACATCGTTGACTTAAAGATTCTTTCAATACTTAAAAAAAAAAAATGTAATTTTAAACTTGAAAACAGAGCAAGATACAAGGGCAGAAACAAAGACAAGGCCAACGACAAAACCACAGACACTCAAAACCTATATTGAAGGATCAAGCCAATGATAAAGGCGAAGAACAGGACAAAGTTAAAGATAAATAAAAAGACAATAAAAAGTAAATCAGTAAAATATTTTTAACATTTTAAATAAAGGATAGCTTCATTATTCCGCAGGTTAATATTAAAATCTAGTCTTATATTTTACTGCATGTCGTTCAGACAATTTTCGCTGGGAAAACTCAAATAATAATCTTCTAAATTTGAAAGACCGCAGCCTACACCCTGGCCCTAGCTCCTCATGGTGCATATCGCCAATCATAAACCACAATTTCGTATCTATGTATCATCAAAAACAAATTCATTCAATAAGAAATTCACTCTGTGTATGTAACCTTGCCGCAGGTATTGTATGATATTCAAAAATATTTTAATGTCTTTAAGCATTTTGTCTGAAAGTTACGAAAGGAGATTGGAATTTACCAAATTACCAAAGAGAATAAAAGTTACCAATTTTGGTAGCATTTTACCAAAATGGCAACCGTGGTGGTTGGTATTTTCACATCTCAAGGAAAAGTTATGTTTTCTTCTCTGTGCCACCTTGATCACTTTTTTCTGCGATATTAAGCAATTTAAATATATTTGAACTTAATATTTAATTACAAACATATTTTCCTTGCTAGCATCTATTTTTGTTTACTTTGACATTTGGCATTTCTCCACTTCTCCACAAAAATGATCGATAAAATTTGGTTGGACACCGAAAAGTTATCGGTTTAATCTGAGATTATTTTATAATTACAGATTAACAAGGGACGAATTTTGTATGGCTAACCGCTTTTTCTAATCACAGATTAGTGAGTTAACATCATCATTATCACATATTGAAAAGTGTTTACTATTTATTATAATTAATTATTTGTTTAGAAAAATATAGTTTTTAACATTAAAAAATAATAAAATAAATAGTCAAAATTTGTCAATATGTGAGTGTCGCATAGTCGTGATAAGCACCTTATTCTATTAAAAATTCGATACGATACTAGGGTGCTGGTAATCGATTCCAAAAAAAATCGTTTTAAATTTATCGAGCAACAAATATTAGTATGGAATAGCAAAAGTATCAACATGGTATCGTATCGTATCGGAATTCGTGTCCCTAGCTTAGTACTTTTTTAAAAGTTAATGGTTCCCAAAATGCCTTCAACTTCAAAAAGCTTCTGAGAAAGTTTGCTGTTTTAACACTTTCATAGACCTCTTTATAATGAAGTGTCGACTAAAAAGCCTCTACATACAGGATTTTGAATTTATTGACGGTTAGAGACTCGTTATAAAAAGAAAACAAAACTATACTTATAACGAATTTTTTTTTTCAAAAAGTTTGCATTTTTTGTTTTAACGAAATTTTGATATTCTATCGGGGACCAAAAGCCGTTACAATCGTTATTTTTTTATTGATATTTTTACGCTTATTTTAATAGTTATTTTATGATTTACATTTTGATAAGCTTTAATCGTAATTTTGTGATTTTTATTTTTTCGATCAAAAAAGATTTAACTCGGTTACGAAAAATCTCTTTTATAATGGTCTAACCGAAAAAATAAAAATCCAAAATAACGATTATAACTAGATGATCGAAAAAATAAAAATCATATAACACATCACAATTAAAGATGATCGAAAAAATGGAAAACATATAATAGCAAGTAAAAATGATCGAATAAATAAAACTCACTAAATAACGATTAAATTATGATTTTTATTTTTCCTGTGTGTACGCACACTTAGACTTGAAATCTTTATTTAATACATTTATCGCAAATTAAGCGAATTGCTTTTACAATTTTAAGAAATTTGAAATAAAACTCTCTATCTTCGAATCCAAGTCCTTTTTCACTATTTCAACATTTTAACGGTTTGTTAATTCTTCCGCAAATTTTTTCCAAACAAAATTTAGTATTTTTCTGATTCGATTTCGATTTCGAATCCCTTCTAAGCTATCAAAACTTTTCGAAATTCCAAAGTTTTAAAAATTTTGGATTCATTGAAAGTCCAATTTTGTCAGGAGAAAACTTGAGTAAGCAATATTTTGTAAAATTTTCAAGTTTCGGGAATTTTTTTTTAATTACTTTAAAAATTTGGGCAATGTTTTAGAAAATTTTGGAATTCATTGAACATTGGTTTAATTTTTCTAGATATCCGCAGCCAGTTCGAAAACGCCCCATCTCAAAAAAATTTTCAAGAACGCCCTATTTCAAAATTTTATTCAAAAAACACCCTATCTCAGAATTTGGTTGAAGAAGAATGCCTTATCTCAGAATTCGGTTCAAAAACACCCTATCTCACTTCAAAATGTATTGAAAATGTGCTGGTACAGGGCAGCTGAGATAGGACGTTTTTGAAACGAATTCTAAAATAGGGCGTTCTTCAACCGAATTCTCAAATAGGGCGTTTTTGAAAAGTTTTTTGAGATAGGGTGTTTTCGAACTGGCTGACGAGATGGGTCGATCTTCCACTCAGCAGTCGATATCAAAATCTCTTCCACAGATTTATTATCCACAGGTTTGGTCGTAGCCGAAGCTGGCCCAAAATTTTATCTTAGACAACAATTCCTTATTTAACTTAATCACGTTTAGGCAAACATACCTAAATACATATACACACGCAAACATAAATACTTACATATGTCCATATGCTCAGCTGGAGGTATTTGTTTACTAATCAGAGATAAGTTCTTTTTGTAATGTTTGCTCTGTTATCTACCGGCACAGCAAATACTGCCATTAACCCTTACTCCCGCACTATGGCGAGCAATCTTAAATTTAATTAATTAGATCATCCTTTTGTTTTTTGCCTCAGTACTACATGTACATATTAGGAATGTTTTAAGGTCCCAAAAATCCCGGGATTTTCGGGATTTTTAACTTGTCCTGATGGCAATAATACAAACTCCTTTTCTTCGCCAGTATTGGCTATATTTCGTTTTTTGAAGTGAAACTTCTTTAGCGACGGTTGGTTGGTTGGGAGTAAATTGGCAAATTTAACGTAAATTGCACACG